ATGGCAATTTGCAACTTATTGGCAGACAATTCAATGTCGCAGCTAAGCTTCAGGAGTTGGCGGCAAGCGTGACCAGGATTATTCAAAATCCGGAACGTCTGGATGAGGACGGTGTCTGCCAAAATGAAGTGGATGGACGCGGAGGATCTCACTTCAGTGACCGTACAATCTTGCAATATTTATCTTTTAATCCAGTTGGTTGGCTCAACTTCAACATTCCTGTTCTCCTTCTCTGTGTACCATTGATTACTTACAAAACCATAACAACACTGCATACAGCACTCAAACCTCAACACCTACGCGTATGCGTTGCATTCTTTTGAGTGTTCATTTTCCTTAATTCATTGTCCTGTCAACACCAAACGTATTGTGACGTCGGTAATTTGTACGCGCTTGTGATTTGAAGTTATATTTGTTGGCGATTTGTAGTGGATTGCAGTTGTTGGTTCCAAATTATGATGGAAGCGGACCTAGTGGCTTAATTCACTCGTTCCAAATACTTGTAAATAGTGCTGTTATGCAGTTCCGGTTTTGTTATTCTGTTACCGGTGGAAACAGGTACACTAAATGCTTCTAAGCGATTTACCACCTACAATTCAGCATTATTTGCACAAAAATTCGCGAGGATGATCACTTCAATCTCTAACTTGCTAGAGGTTTGCCATTCAGGAAAGTTCTCTATCTTAAACTTATTGATCCAGAAGCTTGAAGTTGATCACCTTTATATTTTGGCCAATTTCGTTCAATGCTTTTAGGGGTCAAATTACAAAGGGCTTACTGTATCCCATTTTTGCAGGGCATTACTTGCGACATAGAAAAATCCAGCAAAACCAATAAGTTGATGCGAAATATGAACTGACCAAACGTTTTGACTCCTATGAGTTGTTTGCATAGGACACGTGACCTTCACAAGGTTAGCGACGTTTTGAATTTAACCTGAGCGAGCAACCAGCTGGTTTGTGGGACATCACGCGTTTTGCTAGAACCTATTTTATTCTGGTGCAGTGAGTTACATCTCTCTAACTGCTCAGTGACCACTTCTGTCATACTCGTCTCTATTACTTTGAAAAGTACCGAGAGGTTGAAGATGAGGCAGTAGTTGGCTGGATCTGAAAGATTTCCCCTTAGTAAATGGGAATGGAGGTTCATTGATTCCACCTCATAGACACCCATAAATAGTTGCGACAACATTTCGGTCAAATTCTTGGCATCCGACTTCAAGAACTTTAGGGAGAAGCGGTCGGTACCAAGGAAGGCATGCCGGTCCATTATGATTAGCCAGTCCAGAACGGAAAGCATTTCCTGGCCACCACCTTGAGAATCAGGAACTATGGAACAATAGGGTTTAACTATTAGATTCCACGGGATTAAAACATCTTGTGTGTTGTAAAAAGAAGAAACCGTTAATTCGAACACCAAGTAAGTAGCTAAATTAAATAGTAGATCGGTGAACAGACACTGCGGCGGCACACTAGCAAACGGTATTGTGAATGCGATGGAACCATGCTAAACGGAATAATAATTTATAAGTTCTTACTATGATTGTTTTCAAAACAGTTGGATTTGCTCACCAGCCTGAACTGATTTACTCGCGTTGCTGCAGATCACACTTCAAAAAATCTAGTTCACTGGAATACATTCCAATTTATCCGTTTAGTAAACATATTGTAATTCTCTGAATGTGATATCCAAGAGTTTCACGCGAATCAGTACATCGGGGCTCAGACAACTGAGGAGAGAGGAGTAACTTGGTTGACATTCCAGATGACTGTATTGTTGATTCAGTTGCAAGGGACTGTAGTTAAGGACGGCTCCCCAGATAAACGTTAAATGACAGTAAATGTAACTGCGATCTTCCTGTATTCGATGTATCAACATAAGCTTTACAAGAACCCACTAGCAGCACTCACTGAACACTCGGAATTCGTTCAGCCGTTCCAAATATGAAAGATAGTGTGAGCCTGTGTTATTTTTCTTTGCGCTGCGTTGTGAATCGCGGGTGCTGCGATTTAACGCGTTAGTTACGTTTAGCAAATCTAGGCATCGTATTAAATATGTGGACATATTTAGACATTGAGCATCAATGAGAAGATGCTTAAATCTAAACTCACGAGAGCCTTCCGCAAGAGACCAACGTGCTTGTAACCACCATTTTTGGGAGACTGTTGCTTGACACAGTAGAGATAGGTATAATAAAGTATATTAGTCTCCGCAGAACATTTGCGGCTAGAAAAGGGGCAAGGGTAAACGCTGATGGTACACTTGAACACTGCTTTGATGCGAGCATAATAGTCATGCTTGAACATTCTTGTAATAATGTCTGCGTGAAAAATGTTTACTTACTGAAGACATTGCTGAAAAGGTAAGCAGAGCACACATGGACTAGGCTACCTTCCAATCTGTTATGTTGCGTGAACAATTTCAGCTGGTACCACTTCAATTTCGCTCTGTGGCTGTTTCAGTAGTTGATAGCAAAGGCATCTGAAGCTCGTCAAAAGCTAATATTTCAGGACGACGTTTCCATGCACAGGACAATAACTTCTACTGCATGCAATTGGATCTTGCATTTATGGTGGCGAATACGTTAGAACATGGCTTGTCATTTTTGACTGACCAACTTGGAAGCTTGAGCGCATCCAGATAACATTTTAATCATGGTCGTGAAGTCTGAATGGAGTACTTTACATGAATCCTCAAATACACATTGAGAATTCGCAGGAAGTTGAAAGGGGCGAACAATGTGAACGCCATTCGTCAGCGATGTGCCGGCTGGATCCTTACTATTGTTAACTTTATCGCTTGCTTCCCACGTCTAAGGTTGTTCAGGATCACGACATCAAGTACGCGTACCAGTGAACCAGTTGAAGTTACACAATACTAAGCCTGATTCACTGTGGTTCTGTTCAGTAGTTAAGATCAACCAATTGATAAACAATATAAATGAACTATCGCAGAAATACGAAAAACTGGGGACAATGATAGAAAAATGAGATATCCCAAAAGCGATACGTTTTGAACTATGCGTAACGGAGAGTAAATTCCATTCATTCTCATTAGGCTTCTCTTTAATCTGATGAACAATGCTGGGCAGCACGCTACTAATGTGTCGTCTGTGGATTTTAACGTCATCACCACCAGTTACACTAATACGTCTGAAACAACCACCGCTAGTCCGATTGGAATAAATACAGCAATGATTTTATCCACACACCAAACCCTTCCCAAATTGTACAAGGACGTCCTCATTAGCGGTTTTGAAATTGGTTGCTATCAAAGGTGACCATAAACATTGATCTTCGGCCAGTTGCACTGGGGCCAACTTACCTGAAGAAGACGAAGCTGTACCCTCACAGCGTCCATCGGGTTATGTCAACCCCAGTTGCAAGTAGTATACTAATGGTAACCATCACCAGCGATCCAGAATCAAAGCCAATTTCCTCAATAGGAAAACCTCGATGATGTGAACCAGTGGAATTTCAAATGTGGTATTTTATATGTAGCTAAGCCTATCAAACTGACACGCGTTGCCCGTCAAACAAATGCACAGGACCATGGTTAAATGAGGTTTCTCCGCGTTGTCTTGACTTTCACGAATAAAGCAGAAGCTCTCCTGTTTTTGGCAGGTCGCCTCCGGATTCGGTCATTTACAGTCCGCATATGTCCGCATATTCCGTAGAGCGAAGGCAACCAGAGAAGGCAGACTTAGACGAAAATCGGAGGGAATCCGTAGCCAGGACCATCCTCGTAAACGGTGTTCTCGAAGCTGGCGATCATGATACTCGTGAAGTAAACATTTGCGACTAGGAACAGTGCCGATACGTGTTATCCAAGCATGTAGGCATATTGGACCTACCTAACTAAATGCCCCACAGGAATCGCCTGGAACACTTACACAAAGATATTTACCACTGGTAACGCAGGCGTCTGAGCAGAAGTGCTTCCATCGTCAAACGAGAAGGACGTCATATCTGAGGAGCAGAACACACAAATGCATGTTCTTGTGGGACTTAGCATGGAGAGCTCACATGGAATCCCGGAATATCGAAACTTATAATGCATATGTTACACAGCGTAACTTCTGTGTGAGTTTGATCCGAGAGAACAAGGTGAATCATTAACATGAATTAATGAAGCGAATCTGTACGAAAAGCA